GGCAAACATCGTCAGTGGCATGTGGATTTTCAGGGTGAAGCGGCCGCCGGGTTCTCCGCCTATCTTCAAGGCTCGTTACGTTGCTTGAGGCTTCAGTCAGCGAGAGGGAGTAGACTTCTTTCAGACCTTCTCCCCCACCCCGAAGATGACCACTCTTCGGGTACTATTGCACGTTGCTGCTCAGCGTGACTACGAGCTTCACTCTCTTGACTTCAGCACAGCTTTCTTGTAGGGCAGTCTGCACGAGGAGATCTGGCTGCGCCGCCCTCCTGGCTTCACTGGGACTTTTCCTCCTGGCACCAAGTGGAGCCTCCGGCGGCCAGTCTACGGTCTCCGCCAGGCACCGCGTGAGTGGCACGACACACTGAGGACTACACTTGCGGCTCTTGGGTTTGCTCCCTCTACAGCCGACCTATCGCTGTTTCTACGCACCGACACTTCGCTGCCGCCGTTCTACATCCTCGTGTAAGTTGACGACTTGGTCTTTGCCACTGCTTACACTGAGTCTCTCGCCCACGTGAAGTCGGAGCTGCAGAAGAGACACACGTGCACAGACCTGGGTGAACTGCGCAGCTACCTTGGCTTGCAGATCACCCGGGACAGAGCACGCCGCACCATTACCCTGACTCAGTCACACATGGTGCAGCAGGTCCTTCAGCGCTTCGGCTTCACCTGGTCCTCAGCACAGGCCACTCCTCTGGCTGTAGGTCACTCGCTCTCAGCTCTGCCTTCGGATGAGTCCGTAGAGTCGAGTGGTCCTTACCCAGAGCTAGTTGGTTGCCTCATGTACCTGATGACTTGCACTCGTCCTGACCTAGCATACCCTCTTGGCCTTCTGGCCCGCTACGTAGCTCCTGGCAGGCACCGAAAGGTGCACTGGGATGCTGCAAAGAGGGTATTGCGCTACTTGTGCAGTACATCGGGCATGGGGCTCGTGCTTGGAGGAGAGAGCTCAGTTGTTCTCACTGGGCACTCAGACACTTCTTGGGTTGACGACCAGGCTACTCAGCGGTCGTCACAGGGTTACACCTTCAGCCTTGGTTCTGGTTCAGTTTCGTGGCGCTCTACGCGTTCGTCTTCAGTTCTCAGCTCCAGTTGTGAGGCTGAGATCTACGCCACAGCCATGGCTGCACAGGAGTTACGCTGGCTCACCTACCTGCTGACCGACCTTGGAGAGAGGCCTAGTTCTCCTCCAGTGCTGTACGTCGACAACAAGGCTGCCATTGCCTTGTGTGAGGAGCACAGACTGGAGCACAGAACGAAGCACATCGCTCTCCGTTACTTCCTTGCTCGAGAGCTGCAGCAGCGTGGTCAGCTTCGTCTGCGTTACGTGGCCTCTCAGGCCAACACCGCTGATATATTCACCAAGGCACTTCAGCCTGGTGATCAGCAGCGCTTCTGTACTTTGCTGGGGCTGGTGCCCACTTTTCCTCACTTGTTGTAGGCTTTGCCTGTACTGTGATCTCTATATATACTCCTGCCTGTTTGCTCTGCTAGGCTGAGATCACACTTGCTGTTTGTACTACATATATACTTCTGCATGTTAACTGGCCATGTGGCCCTTTGCTTGTGCTCAGAATGTGTGGTGACGTTGTGATCCACCCTGAGCTTGCTTGCCTTTCCTGACTGGTCTTGTGACCCCTTGCTCTCCCCCACTTTGCCTATGGGGGTGTGTCAAACACTATATGTGTTGTTGTTGTGTAGGCTATAGTGGGTTAGCCTTTAGGGGGTACACAAAACTAGGGTTTGCTACTTGTACTCCAACTTTTCATAGTTCACTCACTTCTTGTTTCTAACACTCTCCTACATCAATCCTCTTAGTTTGAGGAAAACCCATCCCTCGGGACTTGTGCAGAAGACCCGTTAGTAGTAAAACCCGCCTTAGTCTTATATTAGTCACTGAATTCTAAAATTTTCAGAGTTATATTTATCTGGTTCCTTATAGATCAGCGTATTCATTTTTTGGAAAATGGGCCTCAGACTAAAAAAAAATGGGGGGCCAAAAGAATCAGAGTGGTTTTATTTGAAAAGTCAGCCCTGTGATAGACGGTCTAATCGTAGGCGGCTTTTTCCGAAACTTTCGGTGGTTTGAAAAACAACTTCCGTCCCACACTGTGCCGCTCTGCTGAAAACACCAACGACGCACCCTCCTGCAGCCACACCAGCCGCACCCAGGCGGGACGACGATAGACCCCGCTTTCTTCGAGCAGTCGCCACCAGGGCTAATTTTTGGTTTTAAGCAACCCTTACCATCAGTCCTGCACCTTTGCAAAACCCTAGTTATCAGTGTGACCCATTGGGAAAATTCTTTTCCATCAGGGTTTTCCATAGTTTCAAAAAATGTACCCTTACGCCACTGTGTAACAACTTTCAAAACCCTGATGAAGTGTTTCTACTGAAGTTTTGAACATCAGAGCTATCTACAGGATTCGATACCGGATCTTCATCCTTCCGAAGACGAATCTACCGATCGGGCCACTTCAACATGAGTATTGCACTAACACACTGTTCTACGACGTATTTCTAGTTAGGGGGACAGAGGTGCGAGGGCGACTTGAGGGGGGGGGAAGGGGGGGGTTGGGGATGTGGTATTCGCTTCAGGGCAAAACTTGCTAAGAAGAAAGGTACCCCGGCGGCGACAGGGTGCCTTAAACGTAAACCCTGGCATATCAGGAAAATCTACGGTAAGTTCTAGAAAAAATTACCCTAAGGCATCAGTGTGACTACCAAAAACCACCCTGATTATCAGTGTATCTGGGTGATTTACACTGATAAAATTAGCCCTGGTCGCCACGCCGTCTCTCCTCGCCGTTGCGTTTTCCTACGCAAATCACTATACGCCTGGCCTGCCCGGCCAGCTCTTGTTTCCCTTCACGTGAAGCCACACGGAATCTTCGCGCACACTGACGACGATCACCACGTGCCGAAGACCTTCGAGATTCTCGTGCGCAGTTGTCGACCACGCGACAACGCCAACTCGCACACAGTTGCTTCCGAAAACCTCGCGCATGCTGTGACCACAACCTGCCTGATGCCAACTGCCGCATAAAAAACAGTGCCGAGATTAACGGAACCGACGAAAATAACAAACGTAATAAATGTGCGACAGCCACAGCTGCCCACCAACCGGGGGGAGGGAGGTGTTACGATATGAAACTTTATGAGAAGGCATTCATGTATGCTGCAGGAGCCGACTCTACCGAGTACGAAGTCGAGGAGTCATAAGAGTCGAAGCGACACTAGTAACTGAGAAGAAACAAGAGTGGATGAACTATGAATGAAGTGGGTACAAGTACTAACCCTAATTGGGTTGTACCCCCTATGGGATACCCCACTACAGCCTACACAAAAGTATAAGCTATAACGTTCTGACACACCCCCATAGGCAAAGTGGGGGAGAACAAGGGGTCACAAGACCAGTCAAGCAAAGCAAAGCAAGGCAAGCTCAGGGTGGATCACAACGTCACCACACATTCTGAGCACAAGTTCAAGGCCAGAAGGCCAGTTCACATGCAGGAGTACATATATATATAGATAAGGCTAGACAAGCAAGAGCAGGTATATATATATGTAACAGTACAAGCAAGGTCAAGGGGTGAGCAAGTGAGGCAAGACAGGGACAAGACCCAGCTGAGTGCAGAAGCGCTGATGATCACAAGGCGGAAGTGCCTTGGTGAAGACATCAGCAGTGTTGGCCTCAAAGGCCACGTACGCAAGCCGCAACTGACCACGCTGCTGTAGCTCACGAGCAAGGAAGTAGCGAAGAGCAATGTGCTTAGTTCTGTGCTCCAGTCTCTGCTCTCGACACAAGGCCAGCATGGCCTTGTTGTCTACGTACAGGACTGGAGGAGAACGAGGCGGCTCTCCAAGGTCGGTCAGCAGGTAGGCGAGCCAGCGAAGCTCCTGGGCAGCCATGGCCCCAGCGTAGATCTCAGCCTCACAACTGGAGCCGAGAACAGAAGACGAGCGAGTAGCCCGCCACGAAACAGAGCCGGAACCGAGGCTGAAAGTGTAACCCTGTGACGACCGCTGCGTAGCCTGGTCGTCAGCCCAAGAAGCGTCCGCGTGCCCAGTGAGGACCACTGGACTCCGCCCTCCAAGCACTAGCCCCATGCCCGACGTACTGCACAAGTAGCGCAACACCCTCTTCGCAGCAGCCATGTGCTCTGGTCGGTGTCTCCCAGGAGCAACATAGCGTGCAAGAATGCTAAGAGGGTATGCAAGGTCAGGTCGTGTGCAGGTCATCAGGTACATGAGGCAGCCAACAAGCTCTGGATACGGGCCACTCGACTCTACGGACTCATCCGAAGGCAGAGCTGAGAGTGAGTGGCGAGTAGGCAGAGGAGTGGCCTGAGGCGCGGAGTACGTGAAGCCGAAGCGCTGAAGGACCTGCTGCACCATGTGTGACTGAGTCAGGGTAATGGTGCGGCGTGCTCTGTCCCGGGTGATCTGCAAGCCAAGGTAGCTGCGCAGTTCACCCAGGTCTGTGCACGTGTGTCTCTTCTGCAGCTCGGACTTCACGTGGGCGAGTCCAGTAGTGTCAGCTGTGGCAAAGACTAAGTCGTCGACGTACACGAGGATGTAGAACGGCGGCAGAGAGGTGTCGGTGCGCAGAAACAGCGACGGGTCGGCAGTAGAAGGAGCAAACCCAAGAGCCGCAAGCGTAGTCTTCAGTGTGTCGTGCCACTCACGTGGCGCCTGGCGGAGACCGTAGACTGGACGCCGGAGACTCCACTGGGTACCAGGAGGGAAAGACTCAGTGAAGCCAGGTGGGCGGCGCAGCCAGATCTCCTCGTGCAGGCTGCCCTGCAAGAAAGCAGTGCTGAAGTCGAGAGAGTGCAGCTCGTAGTCACGGTGAGCAGCAACGTGTAGCAGTACCCGAAGAGTGGTCATCTTCGGGGTGGGGGAGAAGGTCTGAAAGTAGTCAACTCCCTGCCGCTGACTGAAGCCACGAGCCACGTAACGAGCCTTGAAGACAGGCGGAGAACCCGGCGGCCGCTTCACCCTGAAGATCCACATGCCACTGACGATGTTCGCCCCAGGAGGGGGGACAGCGTCAACGTAGGTGCCTGTGGACTTCCAGGAAGCCATCTCTGCATCCATAGCTGCCTGCCACTGAGAGGAGTAGGGACCCTCTATCGCCTCCGCGTAAGAGCGCGGAGTCGGGATGTCAAGTGCATCCGGGTCTCCCTCAGGGGTAAGCAGTACGGACACGAGATGAGGTGAAGCAGCTGCCAGACACTGGAACTCCTCCTGCCTGTCCTCAAGGACGTCCGTGCCAAGGGCACACTCACCCCCGACGGACGGAGGACAGACAGACTCAGACTCAGCAACAAGACTAGCAGCGTAGTCTAGGCGACAGTGAGCAGCAAAGTCGACGAGCTCAGCAACTAGGGCAGACGCAGCAGTAGACTCGAAAGAAGGGTCAGTGACGACAGTAGCAAGGAAACGCGTGACAGTAGGACTGGCAGCACGAAGAGAGTCCGACTCCGGGTCGGGAAGAGCAGGAAGGGAGGACTCAGGAGGAGAAGGCAAAGGGGCACGCAGAGGAGCAGTGGACGGACGCAGAGACATCCGGTGCGTGCCAGGGACAGGAGGAGGACGCGGACGCGAACCACGACCACTAGCGCGAGCAGTACGGACAGGCGACGCAGGGCGAGACGCAGGCTCACGACGCTCAGTAAGACCTCCAGTAGGACCAGTGTAGGGAGAAGGAGTAGGCAAAGGGGAGGTAGGCTGTAGCTGTGACTGCGACGGGACAGGCTGTGGACCCTCCAAGGGAGGAGGAGGACCAGCAGAAGGCGGAAGACCAAGAACCTGCTGCAGGAGTGGAACGCAGTACGGTCGAGGCCGCGTAGCGACGCCAGAAACAGCAGGGACAGCACCAGTACCCCCAGTAGGAGCACCCGCTCCAGCAGCACCTCCAGCAGCTCCACCAGTGGTAGTCGCAGCGCCAACACCCTCAGCAGCACCAGCTCCAGTCGAACCTGCAGGCCCAGCAGCTCCAGTACTCCCAGTACGAGCACCTCCGGGACCCGCAACAGCAGCACCCTCAGTAGCCGAAGAACCTCCAGCACCAGCAGCACGGCTCCAGCGCCGGGCAAACCACTCGCGCAGCTCGTGTGGAGAGAGTGGCTCCCGACGAGACGAAGCACGCGGAGAACCTCCAGGCGGAGGACCTCCAGGCTCAGCACCCCCAGACCCAGCACCCCCAGGCGTAGCACCCCCACACTCAGCACCCCCAGGCTCAGCACCCCCAGGCGTAGCACCCCCAGACTCAGCACCCCCAGGCTCAGCACCTCCAGGCTCAGCACCCCCAGGCTCAGCACCCCCAGTCTCAGCACCCCTAGGCTCAGCACCCTCAGCAGCACCAGAGTCACCAGTGACCTCGACAGGCTCGACTGCGTCTACCTGGGACACACCTGAAGGGGCAGGACCCTGAGGGGGGAGGGGGTCTACCGGGGGGGGACCTGGTACAAGGAAGAGCGGGGGCGGGGGGAGGGACGGAGTGCGGTAGGGGAAGAGGCGGTAGTAGTGGACCGACTCGTCGAACGTGACGTCCTGGGAGGACAGAAGACGGCGAGAGGTGGGGTGGTAGAACTGCCACCCAGGCGCGTCGGGGGGGAACCCCAGGAAGACGCAAGGAGCAGCACGAGGGGACAGCTTGTCCGCAGACAAGTCGCGGACAAACGCCCGAGATCCCCAGACCCGGAACGCCGACGCATCGCCAACCTTCCCCGTCCACAGCAAGGCTGGGGAGGTCTCCGGCGTGGAGACCCTAGGGTGAAGGTTGATCTGATGCGCCGCGTACCTCACCGCAAACGGCCACAGAAAATGGGGGGCAGCCGCATGCATCATAGACGTACGAGCGACGTCCATGACCATGCCAATGCGGCGCTCAGCAATCCCATTTTGCAGCGGAGAGTCCGGAAGCGTGAAGGTCTGACGGATGCCTCGTGCACGACAGTAGGCTCGCAGAAGGCCAGAGGAGAACTCCCCGCCTCTGTCCGAGTGCAGACGCAGAACAGGAAAGTCAGAGCCAAAGCTCTGCCTGAGCTGGAGACGAGCTGCGCGGATCCAGTCGATCAGCACCTCAGTGACATCACCCTTGCTGCGCAAGGGGAAGACTGCGGTGTAACGCGAGTAGTCGTCAACAACGAGTAGGAAGTAGCGCTCGTGACCCTGCCCACGGACGCGGGCTGGGCCCCACACGTCCATGTGAAGCGTCTGCAACGGGGCCTCTGTCGGAGGAAACTGGGAGGAATGAGGGGCAGCACGCTGGCGCCCCTCGACACAGGGGACACAGGTAGGGCCAGGGCCCTGAGGAAGGGGAGGGAGGGACCGGGGGAGACCAGACACTAGAAGACGGGAGGCCATGCCTCTGAGCCGAAGCAGAGAGGGGTGACCAAGACGGTGATGCCAGAGGAGAGTCTCGTGAGACAGGAGACGACACGAACAGGGGGCAGACTCAGGACCAGACCTGGACGCTCCAGCAAACACCCGACTCGACGAAGCGACTCTACCAGACTCAGTAACGGGAGGAGACGCAGTGGTCAGTGTGTACAGGCTCGACCCCGGCTGACGGGTAAACGTAGCCAGGTGTCGGCCTGTGCTAGCCTCTGTACAGTGCGTCACCCGCTGACGCGCAGGAGTGAACTGGTGTACACCCGCATCCTGGAGGTCAGCACCACTCACCAGGTTCGTAGAGAACGAGGGGAGGTAGAGACCAGACAGGGTGCCAGAGGGAGCCGCTGGACACGGGAGGACTGTGGAGAAGCGAGACAGGAGAGGACCCCCAGAGGGGTCAGCCAGAGACACTGCAACCGGCCGACTCAGCGGTGTGAGTGTGGTGCGGTCCCGAAAGAAGGAGCGAGACGCCCCAGAGTCAAGGGTGAAGGTGAGGGAGGCCGAAGCCGACGTAGTACCTGAGAGCGCAGACTCACCAGTACCTGAGGACGCAGACACACGGGCACCTAGAGCAGCAGCCTCGCTAGCACCTAGAGCGGCAGCCTCACCAGTACCTAGAGCAGCAGTCTCAATGCCCGGGTCGGGCGGAAAACACCGGTAACAGTCACCCTCATCACTAATAGACACAGCATACATGGCAGAGAGAATAGCATCAAAGTCAAGATCATAGATGGCAACACCCGCCCTGGACAGCTCGCCCCAGCGAGGGATCTCTGAGGCCTCCGGGAACTGGTGACGCCACGCGTCCGTCAGGCGGCCAAAGCAGCGCTGGGTGGGGTGGGCACCCCCACACTGCTCACCCGCACGGTCGCCGGTGCGCAAAACGTAGGAGCACGGACCAAAACCCCCACCCCGCTGACGCGTAGTGTACCACTCACGAAGCTGCTGAGGGGACAGGGTATCACGACCACGCTGCTGCTGCTGGCGCGAGCCACCACCGGAGCCACTCCTCTGCGAAGACCCGCGACCAGCACCACCGCCACCCCCGCCGCCTCCGCCGCCTCCGCCGCCTCCGCTACTGCCGCCGCCTCCGCCTCCGCCTCCACCGCCGCCTCCTCCGCCACCTCCGCTCCCACCGCCACCGCCGCCGCCACCTCCGCCTCCACCGCCGCCACCGACCCCTCCACCCCCACCTCCACTCCCACCGCCACCCCCACTCCCCCCACTGCCGCCACCTCCACCTCCACCGCCCCCGCTCGCTCCTCCAGCGCCCTTGCCCCCCTTGCCCTTGCCAGAGCGGCGTCTCCCGCCAGGGGCAGACGCCACACCGACCGACTCAAGACCAAGGAGGTCGGCCGCAGCAGCAGAGGCAACAGAGGGCAGAAGGGGGGAGGGGGAACACCCCTCAAAGATGGGGGTGCGCGGGTCACCACGAGAGGCCCCTACAGCGACTATGCTCTTCTCGGCCGCTAGGAGGGACTTCTCGAGGAGGTCAACAGTGAGAGTGGTGGGACAGACAGAGAGAAGGTGGTCCCGGACTACGCGAAGGGAGTCAGGAAGGCGAGTGACTATGTAGTAAAGAGTGATGTACATGGGGGGGGGGTTCTTGGCGCAGAAGTCAGGAGGGAGTGCAGCGCGGTAGCGAGTGTCACTAGTGCGGAGGTGCGTAATGAGGTCAGCGACTGTGGGAAAGGCAGCAAGGTCAGGAAAGAGGTACGGTAGCATGAGACGGCTCAGTGCAGCAGTGGCAGGGGAGGAGTAGCGCGCAACTACAGCGTCGTACAAGGTCTGAGCACTCTTGTACTGACTAAAGTGCGCACGCTCGGAGGTAGGGAGGTGGCGACGCACAGCAAGACGTGCAGCAGCGTCACGCGTGGCCCACTGGGAGCGAACAGTGGCGTCAGCATCAGCAGCAGGGGCAGTGGAGGCGCCAGAGGTGAGGTCAAAGAGAGAGAGGCCGTCTGCCCTATCGCACTGTAAGAACAGCTGCAGGTCATCTACCCAGACCTCAAAGTCAATGGCCCGACCCTCACCGTCAAAGACGAGAACACTAGGGGTAGCCATGACCCTAGACGACTAGCAGCGCAAACAGTAGGGTGAGGGCAGTGCAGTGAAAAGGCGCTGTGCTCACCAGACTGGGCAGGTCGGGCGGCCCGGAAGGAGGGCGGCGCGGCGGCTCGGCGGCTCAGCTGCTGGGCGGCTCGGCGGGTCGGCGGCTCCGCTGCTGGGCGGCTCGGCTGCTGGGCGGCTCGGCTGCTGGGCGGCTCGGCTGCTGGGCGGCTCGGCTGCTGGGCGGCTCGGCTGCAGGGCGGCTCGGCTGCTGGGCGGCTCGGCTGCAGGGCGGCTCGGCTGCCGGGCGGCTCGGCTGCTGGGCGGCTCGGCCGCTCTGCTGTCGGGCGGCTCGGTTGTGCTGCTGAAGGGCGGCACGGCGGTCAGCTGCTCGGCCGGGTGAGATGGCTCGGGCGGCTAGGGTGGCGGGCGGCGCTGCAGCAGGTGACGGGGCCGAGAGCGAGGTGGCGGGGCCGCAGGTAGGGTGGCAGGGCCGCCGAGTGAGGCAGCGAGGCCGTTAGGTAGGGCGGCGGGGCCGCTAGGTAGGGCGGCGGGGCCGCAGGTAGGGTAGGGCGGCGACGAGCCAGGCGGCGACGGGCCGGGACAGGCGGCGCACGGGCCACAACGGGCGGCGACGGGCCGGGGGAGGCGGCGCACGGGCCGCGACGGGCGGCGACGGGCCGGGCGGCGACGGGCCGCGACGAGCGGCGATGGGCCGGGACAGGCGGCGCACGGGCCGCGTCGGGCCGCGTCAGGTGGCGACGGGCCGGGACAGGCGGCGCAGGGGCCGCGTCGCACGGGACGGGCGGCTCACGTGGCCGGGGCGGGCGTCAAAAGGGCGGCGGGCGGGCCGCGTAGGGTGGCGACGGGCCGCTAAGGGCGGCGACGGCCGAGCAAGGGCGGCTCGAGGGAGGCCGCGACGGTAGAGAGAGGACCCGAGGCGCGACTCGGGCCTAAGCGGAGCGCGCTTCGGGCAGAAAAAAAAAAAAATTCGATGGTGGGCCCTAGGATCAGTTCCCACTAGGGAACCTGCTCGATACCATGAGAAGAAACAAGAGTGGATGAACTATGAATGAAGTGGGTACAAGTACTAACCCTAATTGGGTTGTACCCCCTATGGGATACCCCACTACAGCCTACACAAAAGTATAAGCTATAACGTTCTGACAGTAACCGTGTGATCAAGACCGATGCAGGCAGAAACATTTGAAGTGAAAAGAGAGGGAACAGGTTTGAAACGGGTTCCCGCGCCGCACGGTTCGAACTTCGCTGCAATAAGGGAATGTACCCCTTAGAGTACATGGCTAGTCTAGGTCGTTTCGTATTCCTTTGTATTTCCTATATAAACCCGATGTATGCATGCTATTATCAATCTCAGCCATTTACATTCACTCTGACCTGAGGTCACTACTTCCACTGCAACACTACCCCGCGATCAACCTTGAGCGATCCTTCGCTAAGTCCCACTTGGGATTGTAACATGGTATGAGAGCAACTCAGGGATTCTTCGCAACTTCACTTCCGTGAAATTCGCCGAACCTAGATCTGGCGAGCGGCACACGCTCCAAGACCAAGATGGCCGGAGGATCCAGAGGCCAAGCAAATCTGACGGCCGAAGGACAAACCAACCCGGCTGCGAACCACGATCAGCACTGCCGCACTCGAGCAGTTATTTTCGCGACTCTCAACTATGGAGAAAGACATCCAAGAACTGCGCAAGGGCGATGTGAGAGTACGACGGCTTATGCTGGCTTTGCTAGCTTGCCTGAACTTTATTATGCTATATCTAGCTTGGGTTTTATTTATCATGCATAGATATGCTTGATTTCCTAGGTTAGGTGCATTCCTATGTTTTATTATAGTTATAGCACCGAACCAGGTTACGTGTACCGAACTCAAGCCTTTTCGGTTGCCACCGAATTGCTTTCTAATGAGTTCGGGTAGGTTCTGTTCAGGACGCTTCATGTTGTACCCAGGTGAATCATTCAATTCAAACTCTCTTTCCTGAGCTCAATCCTAGATCCTCACACTTGGTAATTAGAGCCTGTTTAGACGCGAAGTTTTTCGACTGCTAAAACCTAGCTTTTAAAACCGCGGGGGCGACGACGAAAAGCGCCGATTACGGGCACGTAAACCAGTTCCGCGCTCTTTTTTAACGTCCCTCTCGAACCGGTTTTCAAACACTCCTCAGGTCCGGTGGCGAAAAAGTTGGAATTTCGACCGTCGGATCGATTCGAATCTCAACGGCCCTGAGAATTTCGCCCAAAAAGGTTGGAATTTGGAGCGTCGGATTGACTTTCTTCTCAACGGCCGAGATCGGACGCGAATTTCGACTAAGGGAGAATTACGCGACCAGCAGAAACAGCGCTCGTCATTTCTACATTCGATTCGACTCGCAGTGAGTGGACCAGCGCCTAGAAATCAATCATTTTCGTCGCTCATCTTCCTGTAAATCGTCAAATGGAGGAAAATGGTGATAATTCCGTACGGAAAATTATGGAGTTACACACCGGCCTGGACCAGACGCGAGCGGCACTCCAGCGAATAGAGGAGCTTCTCGCGAACCAGTCGGCAGCCGCCATAGCAGCAGCGAACGCAGCAGCGAATGCAGCAGCGACGGCAGCAGCAGCAGCAGCAGCGGCGACACAGACACATCAACCAGCAGCAGCGGCAGTGGCTACAGTGAATCTTGAGGTGGCACGTCCGAGGCAACCGGAGACGTTCAATCCGAATGCGAGAGACACCGACGTCCGTCGATTCATTGCGACCCTCGAAATTTACTTCGAGGCCGTTGGCTGTACGACCCCAACACACGATGCAATGCGGATTCGGCTCGCAGCGACACTGTTACGAGGCCCGGCGCTCGAGTGGATTTACAATAGCAATAAGATCCGAGGCGAGGGGTCATGGACGCAGTTTCGGGAAGCTTTAATTCAACGTTTCGAACCAATCAACTCCAGCTACATGGCGCGGCATCAGATTCATCGGCATAAACAGTTCGGCAGTGTAACACAGTACACGCAGCAGATGGAGAGCCTCTTCAACCGGATTACCGACCTGACCCAAGGGGAAAAAATCCAAGCGTATACTGAGGGGCTAAGAATGGAAGTCCGGCAACAGGTGATTGTCGCGAACTACAACAACTACCGCGACATGGTGTGTGCTGCAGAGAGATTCGATGCGTTGATGCTAGATCAACCCGAAACACGACGACGCGTGCCGAACAGATCATTCGGCACGGAGCGATCGGCACCACCCACGACCGCCGACCCGATGGATATCGACAAGATCGACGCGAAGCAGCAGCCGAGAAAATATGAGAAGTGCGAATTTTGCGGCGCAGCAAGACATTGACTCTTGGCGTGTTGGAAAATGAAGAATGCACGAGCAGAGCTGCAGGGCAACAACAGTGCGACATCCACGATGGCGAAAAAAGGAGGACATGATGGCGCGAATTTAAAACGCCACGACCGGCCGGCAACAGGGGAAATCGCCGAGACAAATAGAGGCTCCGCGAAACAAGCCTCTGCACCGACCGGGAAACTCCAGCCGAACACTTCCGAGAGTAAGAATATTCCCTCTCCAGGTTTTCAAGCCTTTAAAAAATTCAGGGGAGATTTCGAGGCCAAGAAAAAGCCTTCAGACATTATTCAGGTACCTGAGAAGTTGGGCAAACCACTCCGGAGCGTTGAAAAGGGTCGTGCATTCCACGGAGTTAATATTCTCTCCCCGCAGCATAGTCTTTAGGCTCCCCATTGCCCACAGGTGAAGCCTACACAGCTGGAAAGGCTTAGGGGAAGGTTCCAGGTCCAGACGAAGCTGAATCGGCCTCGGATAAATCCTTCTAACACTGCTCAGTTGAAAACTGATATGGAGTCAGCAGCTTCAAGCGCAGGACCTAGGGGAGATATATTCGACGTACCCTATGATCCTATAAGCGAGACCATCTACGGTTACTCGTAGCAGCAACAACCACTACTACTCGAGGTGATCTGCAACGGGCGACGCCTCCAGGCACTGGTGGACAGCGGTGCGTCTCACTCGGTGTGTGACCGCGGTGTCAGAATGTGTAGTTTGTCTAGCCTGCAGTGGGGTACTCTATAGTGAGTACGACCCCTTAGGGTTTCCTATATGTATCCACCTGCTTGCTAGTGCATTCCCCTCCTTTGCCTATTTTCTCTTGCCTAGCTAGCTAAACCCTAGCTATGGCTCCTCGTTCTGCTTGCTATTCTGACATGGAATCAGAGCTGTTACGCTCTTGGCCTGTGGGCCCCACGTGCTTCCGCTGCTTTCTTGTGTGTCGCGCGCCCCGTGGCGCGCGACGCTTTTTTCTTCCCGCCACGCGTTCGGGGCGCATGGCGGTTTTCTGCCCGCCGTGCGCCCCGAGGCGCGTGGCGGCTTCCTGCTTCATGCGTCACCCCGGGGACCCGCGCGTCCCCCCCGTCGACGGTCGCGTCGCCCCCCGGGAGCTCGTCGCGTCGCCCCGCAACCCGCGCGCGGCCCTCGCTGCCCCGTCGCGACGCCCTGGGGAGCCGCTCGCGGCCCCCCGCTGCCCCGTCGCGGTGCCCTGGGGAGCCGCGCGCGGCCCCCGCTGCCTCGTCGCATCGCCCTAGGGAGCCGCGCGCGACCCCCCGCTGCCCCGTCCAGGCGCCCTAGGGAGCCGCGCGCGGCCCCCGCTGCCCCGTCGCGGCGCCCTGGGGGGCCGCGCGCCGTCCCCCGCGCTGCTGCCCGCGCTCCTGCCCCGTGCTGCTCGTGTTAGGGTTTGGGGGTGGCGAGTGTGGGGGTGGCGGGTATGGGGGTGACGGATGTGTGCGCCGTCCCCTGCTCCTCCTCCTCCTCCGTCTCCCACTGCTGCAGCTGTCGCTGAGGGGGGTGGGTGTGTGGGAGCCGAAGGAGTGGTGCTAGGGGGGTGTCGTGGGAGTGATGCTAAGGGTGCAGCAAGGGGGGTGTGAACGGGAGTTTTGGGACAAAGGGGGAGGTTGAAAGGGGGTGGCCGCCGTGAAGCCAGCAGCTCCAGTCGCCCGTGAGACCGTTGCGCCAGTCGCCCGTGAGCCCGTCGCTCCAGTCGCCCGTGAGCCCGTTGCTCCAGTCGCCCGAGAGTCAGTTGCTCCTGCCGCTCGTCTAGCCGCGGAGCCAGTTACTCCAGTTGCCCGTGTGCCAGTTGCTCCAGTTGCCAGTGTGCCAGTTGCTCCAGTTGCCCGTGTGCCAGTTACTCCAGTTGCGCCGTGTGCCAGCAGCTTCAGCTGCCGCCCACTACCTCCTCTCCTCTCATAGTCCCTCCTCCTCCTCACTAGCCCTCTATGATAGCCTCTAGCTTTGCTTATATTTGTGAACTATAAACTGCTGCTTGTTGTGCTGATCATACCCCACTTTGACTATGGGGGTGT